CCGTATCATGGCACTTAGGGGATCCTAATGTGGGAATCATGTAACTTGTTCAAAATCATTTTCAACCTATAATTTGATCGGATGATTCAATATCAAATGTTGTATATAAAATATTATTTCATGGAGAAAACAGTGTTTGAAGAGCTATGCTTAGAATTGCAGACATCAATGATATAATTATACGCATTGGCATATTATTCAGATACGCTTCCAGAAACCAGATGACTGTGTCACATAGAGTCTACATGCAAAACATAGCTGAACAAATGAAGTATAAACTTATGGAGAAGTTCAGTCCATTAGAGAAATTCGGACTCCTATTTATACTGTGATGGCTTTGATAATTTTACGAATTAATGGTTTCTTCGTACTTGATGGCCTATGATTTCGAGTTTTCAAAAACAACAAGTTCGTGTGTGTTCATTCAGTTTCTCACAGCACAATTCAGAACAATGAAACTGAACATCTTCAGTGACAACCGTGAAGTATGTGTGCTCCGAAAACTGCAATTCATTGTGCAACGCTGGATACTTATTTTTCAACAGCACTTAGCACACCAAACTATCAACTCAGTATCGGTATCCTTTGTGAATCTGAGAAAGACAACTCCGTTTTAGCTCGTTTGGAGTAATAAGCTTTGAGTGAAACTGATGGACGTTTATGGCTTCTTTCAGCAATAAAAATTTGTAAAGAATCACAATCCGTCTAGATAACACCGAATTAACTTTGGTTTGTCACTCATCATTAACATAAGAATGAATAATGAAGTAACGAAGGATGACGATGGACATACACAACAAACTCATTGTTGATTGCAATTAACACAAAATCACGTAAACACGTGACTACTAATTCCGAAAAAAGTGTTGTCAAACTCTCGTAAGAAAAGTCAGCTTCTAATGAATAAAGACAATGACGTAAATATTATAAATCATGTTTGATATTTAATTAACAAGAATACATCGGCTATAACATAAACAAGCACAAAATGTACATAGTTCCGTGAAGAAAAGTTCAAACCATTAAAATGAATAACTAAATCTGAAACTGTTCATTGAAATACGAAAAAAAAGCGGAATTGGTCCGAATATTCGAGTCTAGTTATGAGACTTTGTTGAGAGTCATTCACTATTTCTCCTTCCTTTATGCTACCATCTACAAATAACACAACTGATGCATGCAGCAAAGAAGAAGACGACGGAAGGAATAACAATATACAGATACCAAAGTGATTTGTTCTGTTCACTTTCTTGAGTTATTTCAGTGGTCGCATTCTATAGAAAAATAAAACAGTAGCATTTATCACTAACTGTCAAATATTTACCGAGTATTGTTCATTTCCATTGGTAGTTTCCGTGACGTTTCCTCCAACCTGAACTTCAGGGATCCCAAATGTTGTTCCGTTTTGATTGACGGGTGTCGATGTACTCACATCGTTAACATCCGGGCTCTTTTGGATAAACAAAACAGTAGCATTTATTATTAACTATCAAATATTTACCGAGTATTGTTCATTTCCATTGGTAGTTTCCTTGACGTTTCCTCCAACCTGAACTTCAGGGATCCCAAATGTTGTTCCGTTTTGATTGACGGGTGTCGATGTACTCACATCGTTAACATCCGGGCTCTTTTGGATAAACAAAACAGTAGCATTTATTATTAACTATCAAATATTTACCGAGTATTGTTCATTTCCATTGGTAGTTTCCTTGACGTTTCCTCCAACCTGAACTTCAGGGATCCCAAATGTTGTTCCGTTTTGATTGACGGGTGTCGATGTACTCACATCGTTAACATCCGGGCTCTTTTGGATAAACAAAACAGTAGCATTCATTAAAAAGCATGAAATACCCTTAGATTAATTCATTACGCTTTACTGTCAATAAGGGTAATAAAATACAATTCAACAAACAGTAACAAAATGTGCATTTGTACAATCATTCAGAACATCTAACACCGATTCGACATACCTTAAAATGGCAATCATTCACTTTAAAGAAATGATTATCCTGATGATGACTGTCGATGCACGTGTTCCATTTCTCACACCAAATACATTTTACATTCGATGTTGTTGCTTTTCGACATGCTTCAAATGAATTGTGTATTGGACAAATTGCTGTAAAAGTAATAAGGTGATTATATAATTCGAATACTTAAACAGAACTAAAGAGAATCACAATACATGGAACTATAACTAAATGACATGATAGTGATTTCAGTGTTAAGTGACTATTTCATTCACTAGAGAGTTGCTATCACAGTGCGTAATGCAATACTCAGTATACATTCAATTTCATTAACGTTTCACAACGGAATGTTTAGAGTGAATGAAACAAGTTAGAATATCAATTATGAACGATGAATTCCGACTGACAAACTTGACAGAATTCAATGCTGTCACTGGTTTCAGCAAAGTATGTGGCCGCATTCTGGTCTGTGTGCTGTCGGTTAATGCAACAGACTAGTTGGATCAACGAAAATTCATCGATAATAAAGACAATATTTTATGCAATGAATATTGAAGGTGAATTGATCATTGGATAATGGAATGATTCTCTCAGTGGTGGAAATGTTGTTTCGGTACCTAACACATGGTGAACTGAAATCTGTTTTAATTTACTGAGTGTTCATATTCAATTTCGTATTGTTAAATACATCAATAATTCTGAGACTGTCTATGATGAATATAAGTTTAGTGACGTCACATTTCTTCATCTTCATTTTATCGGATATGGTTAAGCAAAGTTGTTGTCAAATCTGTTAACAGCTCAATCTTAGACCATTTAGTCCAAACAGGACATACAGCCAACATCGAGCAATCTTTTGCAATAGTTTACCTTGTCAACAGCAGTCAACCTAATTCCGTCAGACTGCGAATCCTACAGACGGCTGAAGCAATTGCTATTCGGATCAAAAAGCCAGAGCTTTGTATCCAAAAGAAGTATGTTCAGCCACTCCTTTTACCCTGGCCAACTAGCTAATAATCAATCTTAAAATATGGTGACGTAATCTGATTAATGTTCATTTTATGTCCCAAACTTATTATTATTATTACTGCTATTATTATTATTATTATTATTATTATTATTATTATTATTATTATTATTATTGTCTTTACACTTGATAACCCCTTTTTGATGAATTTATTCAATATCCACCCCTGAATCGACTATATTTGACCTAATTATTTTACATATTACGTAATTTCCGATTTGTAATCACAATATTCTCTCTCTCTGTTACCCCATGTTGACCATATTTATTCTGATAATTTATCTCACAATTTCATTTCGCTTATAAACTGATTCAAGATAACACTTCATATTAGTCAGCCCCAACATTAACAATTTTATTTTATATAAAAAACAATTCCTGATTCACATATTGCAATTTCCAAATGATGATGTATTTTGCCTTAAATTTGGCCAATTTTATGGATTATTAATCTGGATTTATAATTGTAGAACCTGATGAGAAATTATTGAAAAGAATATCCTTCGTTCATACAATTGTGTTCTTATCGGATATGTATGACAAAGCAGAGATTTTGGAAAGTAGCCAACCGTTTTGATGTTGAATCGCAATGACATTGAATGTTCTTGTGATTTCAATGCCCCAGAAAAATTCGATATCACATGTACCAAAAAGGAAAAACAGAAGCTGCCTGGTCAATCCACAATCAAATAACTGTTACCTAATCTTTTTCCAGATTACTATCAAGTCATACATCGTTTTGTGAGTTTGTCCACAAGACTTGAATATCATTCTTGATATTTAAAAGTCAATCGACGTGTAGTTACTAATGGTAAGTGAAACGTATTTTGAGACGGATGCCTGGATATCATTTAGTAGCCGACTGCAGTCACAAATGAAATTTCCAGAGTGTTGAAATAAAAAGGATGTATTCACGTGTGAATATAGTAAATGATGATAAATAAGGTTTAACATACTGCCAATGACTTCATACTCCACTAACGTGCCAGTTTTGATCCATTTTGAAGGAACAGATATCTCATGTTCTGTCTTACCTTGTGTGACAAATTGAAGAGAAAAAACCTAACATTTAGCAACAACTGAAAAATTCAAGTTAACCCTTTAAACATTTTTTCACGTTTCAGCTTACAAATAAACAACATGAAAGCATCAAATGAAAAACGAATGATGACTAGCGTTCCTTCTTATTTAAAAAGTCTCAACTGGATATTGCTGCATCTCGGCGTTGATGTTTACTCGTGGACAAGATCTGAGAACCATTCAGTTCAAACGTCAAACTGATATTCCCTCAACTATTCAGTCCAAACACCTACTGGTTTGTACGAAGCGTGAAAGGTTATTTCATTCCTGCTCTGTTAACTTAATCCTATCTTCGATATTTATGACGGCAGTCGATTCCACTGCTAACCACCATCCATCTTTGCCTACAATGCTTGTGATCAAAGAAAACATCGAAGCAATCATCACAGAAAGCGCATGAATCAATAAGAGACAGGTGGGAGAACTCCAACGAGCAATATAGAAATGACAAATTTCATCATTTTTTACTGACTCTGTTATGCACTTCAATGGAACAATATGTATCACTTGACCAAATATTTGGTGCATGTTCTCACATGTGATCATGTAACACTGTATTCCGCTCATTCACTCAGCTTGAAAACTGAGCTTTATATTTCATCAACACATAAGATCGAGCATTGTGTGCAGAAAACATTAGCTTCAGGTGCTACTTATTCATCACGCGTGACGATATTTTATCTGCCTAATTTCATCGTTCATATATGTCTACCTCTTTCAGTTTATCGATCTCCAAAAGTACTAAACATTTCTTATTAACCATCAAAACTTTCGCGATAAAAAAACATTCATACACCTTAGTTACCTTACTCCAGATAGTCGGTCATATTAGCCTCAGTAAACAAATAATTGATCATAGACGTCACAGTGCGTCAAACTGTTAACATCATTCTTTGCAAAATTTCTTACCTGTTTTACATTGAAAGAATCCACGGATTCCGTACACTGTAGTGTTTGAAATTTCAAAAATATTCTGAAAGAGACATGGAACGAGGATTAGTCAGCACACAACCTTTTATATCAAAACAAATTGAACGCCAGCTGTCAACTTCAGTCAAGTTTGATGACTTATCAATCTAACATGTAATATGTTGACACACTGTGAGATGAAAATCTACGTCAGTTGTAAAGAAATGTGACTGTTAACAGCTTCATGGAAGCTGTGCTCAAATGATACATTATTGAATGTTCCGAAAAGCCTACCATTTGAAGATGAAATACAGTCTGACAGAATACGACACATTACATACACTATACTGACATACACTGGTTAGTAGTGTTTGACATGAACACATCATTGTTACAACTGATGTCACTTCACTTCTAATTACTCACATTTTAACAAGTGCTAGAGTGAGTTGTGTCATTAATAGAATAATTACAAAGTCAAGTAGTTTGTTTACACATCACAAAATGTTGATCTTTTTCCATTGTGTTCAGTGTAGCTTAATACACATTCGACAGTATTCATACGCATGAAATAGTAGAATGATCTCAAGTACTTGAAACAAAACTAAATGTACATTCAGTTATATAACTTACGTTCTCATAAAAGATAGATATCTTCCCATTCGGATATAACAGATTAGTTACTATGGGTGTATTCTCTACAATTAAAAGACAAACGATACTTAGAATTTGAAAGATATGTGTAACACAGCATGTGCTCACTCACAAAGTGATCAAATTTAGTGTATAATTACTGAGTTCTGTCAAATGCTTTCTTCAGTCGGATTCGCACTCAAAACATTGAACTAAACGTCATGTTAATGAAACGAGCATGCATCCTTCCAAACTAGTGTTGAATGCCTAGTTTCTGAATCTGCATTACTATTGAATCACTGAAGGTGAAATACTGCATATATATTCGCACATACGCAATATTTTCTATAATTTTCCTTGTGACAATCGACTCCAAGTACGTATGATATAAGTTGTGGAGCGTTTATTCACACATACAACTTGAGAATCTCACTGATCACCTAATATATGGATATTTAAATCGATCAAGTAACTGTGACCACAGTGTTTGTTTGTTGTGGATGAGAGACGAATAGATTTGAATGTGTAATCTCAACGACTACTCAATATGAATGGGTCATATATACAGGAATGACTATGTGATGAATGGAAGTGTAGATGAATATGATGTGCACAGGAGTGGTTTTGTGACGAACATATAACAGGTTTTCAAACAGGCAATGTGCATCAAGTCCCAATCAATTTGATCAAACGGTGAATGGATTTCACATTTGCTTCAACCCTCATTTTCTAGAAAAGTAACAAAGTTTTAAATGTCAATTTTCTGAAAACTGAATTGCACAAACAGTGTGAGATCAAAAAGAGTAAAGAAGTAAGTGTGCAAATTTCACTTGTCATGAATAATGTTTACCTTTATCTTCTCCTTCAAGAGACCATCTGGCAGCGAATAATCCCTCTGAATTATTGAAAATAAAAGTAGATAATGAAATTTGTGTAAAATGAAAATCCATCTGTTTTATTAAATGTACGTTTTAACATGGACTACCTCTGCATACAAGTTATCAGATTCATTTCAGCATTTACATGAAACGGTGTGGTGAAATGGTCGATCATCGCCTATGAGGAAGGTTCAAGGATTATTGTCACTTCAACGATATGATGAACATTTCAATCTCTCTAAGTGAGAATGTTACACTTCTGTTAATTTTTCTCAAACGATTTCGACTGAGTAATTGTCTTTTGATATTTGTTCGATGCTAGATTTTGTTAATCGTCAATTTATATAACTGACTGAGATATACGGATGTAAACTTGATATTCTAGGTGTTCTAGTTTGAGTAAAGAATCTTGCACTAGTCGACTGTTCACGTTCGTTCATTAGTCCGCTGTGTCAGAAAGTGTTTGAATTCGAAAATTGTATGAATATGAATATGATTAAAGAGATACAGTTGAATATACGATGGTTGACAGACAGCGACTCAGAGACATTAAACTTTTAGGAATCAAGTAAGTACTAGAAAAGTATTTTAGGGCATCCAACTGATTTATGTCAGAACATCGATTATTACTGAACATTTGTTTAGTTTGATTCACTCACTTTACTGAGAATTGTCGTATCGATGAGTTTCCATATGTGCAAAATGTATTTGAGAACAGTAAATAAAACAAACTGCAACTGAATAATTCAAGAAACTCACTCTCATTCAAAAGATGACGTGACAAATCTCTTCCTAAATAATTCGACATTTGACCAATTTCATCGTTGTTTTTAAATATACCTAAAACACCTATATTTTTGATAATGAAAACATACAATGTGATTGATAATTTCACATGGAATGAATAAAATATAAATTGCATAAGTTGGACATGTAACACGGAGCATGTAAGTGATTCATTGAAGAAATCGGCGCGTCATAAGGAGCATGCAACTGATTCATTGAAGAGATCGGCGCGTCATAAGGAGCATGCAACTGATTCATTGAAGAAATTGAATCCACTATGATTCATGCGATTAATTGGTGATCAAGTAAATTCAATAACAATTTTAGTTTAAAGAAAATTATGGACTTACCTCTAGGCCAAATTTTAAATTTATTGACTTCACTTTCAAAAAATTTTAACGGGAATTCTGGTTTAATAGGCTAAAAGGTGTAAATAAGTGGATAGCGCCTCAACTACAAAATGTAACCAACTCACTTTAGTCGTCTTGTACTCATTAAAACTGCCATGCACATTTGGACGAGGCTGATTGAGATTAATGGTTTGTGAGTAATAATAATGGTGAGACTGTATATGTCTATTAGAATCTGACTGATTACTTACATATCGATATGATTCATTCATAAAAATCACTTGTTCAAAGTTCTTCCACTTCGGCTGTTTACAAATTTCATCACAGTTACACAACACGGAAAATACGTTCAAGATCATAGAAATTCGTATGAACAGATCATATGGAGAATTGAATCTGAAATGGTTCAGGTGAATAAAAGAACGTTATCTCATGGAATCAAATTTCAATTTGCACGATACACTCATTTAACTCTTGTGTTCAGCTAACACACACCTCATCATCTTGTTGAAAGCAGTTAATGAAATTTCACTAAAAATTGTCTGGTATATATAGATTTATTGAGTGTTTGGTTGTTTTATTCTGATTCGATAATTCAAAGTGACCATGAAGGTCAAATTTCGTTCATTATGTTCATTATTGACGGAAAACATTTAGTGCACGGCCATTTTTGTATTTTTTTTTTCGAGTGAAATTTTTTTTCGTCCCATTGGAAAAAATTTACATCCCCATCTTTCAATAATTTTCATTCTGTTTCGTCCAATCAACTAACTAGTTTTGAGTTCGTTATAATTGGTCATTTATTTCTCTAAATCGATATAAAATATGAGGACTTGACGACAGAGCACATTTTCTTACAGTTATGGACCGTAGTAGCGTGCGGAGTACAGTCTCCGTCGTTCATCACGTTGTCACAGAAACCGATAACCTATTCTTGAGCACATTGTGTCTCGTAGCGTTCCAATCTCTTGAAGCGTTGAAGAGCGCCATTAGAACGTATGAAAGAGCCACGTACTGCCATTATGTGGTGAGGGATTCTCATTTCCATAGAGATCGCAAGCCGTATATTATATTCGTATGTTGGAGAAATGGCCGTAGAACACCTAGCGGTTCCTCGCAGCCGAGTAGTCGAACGAGGTAATTTGATTAGTGCTATTATAATTTTTCATTAAGGACTACCGTGAACACTCAATGTCTTTCCTTCATATTTTGTAAGTTATCAACTATCAAAATAACCTCAATATGGATGCAACGTTAAGGAATGACGAGGGGGAAATCGGTTCGATGAACTCAGAGGAGTTCACTGAACGAAATGACGACAATGACGGAAGCGCATATGACAACAGACTTTGTGATATTTGCAATCTTGTGCAACCGCCACATGAAACTGCTGATGTAATTGCCTGGATTTTTTTGTCCATGCGAAGCAATGCTTCATTTATTTTGTGCCTACGACCCATCACCAAACGTCCATGGAATCCACTGTCCCATGTGCGGCGCTATAACGGAGTCATAGCAACTTTTTTGTTCATGAAATTCGGAATTGTTAAGAGAACGAGTAAAGGCCCTTTTCAGGGCCACCCACAATTTGATTTAAATTCTTTTGTTTCAATTTCTTATTTCCATACCAAAGGTCAATTGGTGAAACCATCAATATTCATTTAAGATTAATAGTCATTATGTGATTATCGTCCACGTATTCGTAAACGCTTTTTAAGCTTTATCAAATATAGGGTTTAAGTAAACGATTTCGTATAGGAAATGTCATCTAATGAACATTCATCTGTCTAAGAATAGTACATGCAAAACTGGTTCAGCATGTTTCAGTGTTTTGTCATATAGTTACGATAGGCGAATGTAGTACTACCAGTTCACTAGTACAACGACATCATTTCTATAGGAAAGGTCAACTGAACCAACAATGATGAATTCTAATTAAGCCTTAGTGATTAAGCAATATAATCAATTGAGATTTATAGAAATTTCGTGGATTAGATTATTTAAAGAGGATTTTATAAAACGTATAAATGTATCACTTTGTTCTTATTAAGCTGTGTAATTCAGAGAGAGACACCTATTTCCTCAGACGTAGGCTTGTTCTTTTATACTTAATGTAACTAATATTTCAAATACCTGTCAAAAATTGTTATTCAACAATATAGAATATTCTGTGGGGATTTTTAAACTGTAAATATGCTGTTGACATTACGTGCAAAACATTGTTAAGCTCAATTGACGAGCACAATAATCTATTCATCACATGACTACTTACATAGACAAGTATTTTTGGTCATAATTTTAAACTGCTCAACTACAAAGAATGTACAGGTAAAAACAAGTAACGCTTTTAATGGATTAGCAAAATAACGCAATTGACAATCTTCCATTTATTTAATTTATGACACCATTTTTCCGACGAAACTAGACAATTCTTTTGTACTAAGAATTACTGTTTGGAAAAGAACCCAATCACATAAATATTGTTTGCTATTTTCTGAGAGAAGTTATTACTATTTTGCTTCATTCACCGATCATTAACGATTAGCGTGATTTATGCATGCCCTATTCATTATTTTATCATGATGATTTATGGATTAGTTGCTACGCATATACCGTTTAATAAAATAACATACGATGTGTTAAGAAAAAACTAATGGAAATACTTCGATGAATGATTTCTTTACTAATTGTGTATTAAAAATTCGACCACCACCTTTCTCTTTGATTTGTCACACAAGGTAAGACAGAACATGAGATATCTGTTCCTTCAAAATGGATCAAAACTGGCACGTTAGTGGAGTATGAAGTCATTGGCAGTATGTTAAACCTTATTTATCATCATTTACTATATTCACACGTGAATACATCCTTTTTATTTCAACACTCTGGAAATTTCATTTGTGACTGCAGTCGGCTACTAAATGATATCCAGGCATCCGTCTCAAAATACGTTTCACTTACCATTAGTAACTACACGTCGATTGACTTTTAAATATCAAGAATGATATTCAAGTCTTGTGGACAAACTCACAAAACGATGTATGACTTGATAGTAATCTGGAAAAAGATTAGGTAACAGTTATTTGATTGTGGATTGACCAGGCAGCTTCTGTTTTTCCTTTTTGGTACATGTGATATCGAATTTTTCTGGGGCATTGAAATCACAAGAACATTCAATGTCATTGCGATTCAACATCAAAACGGTTGGCTACTTTCCAAAATCTCTGCTTTGTCATACATATCCGATAAAATGAAGATGAAGAAAAGTGACGTCACCAAACTTATATTCATCATAGACAGTCTCAGAATTATTGATGTATTTAACAATACGAAATTGAATATGAACACTCAGTAAATTATAACAGATTTCAGTTCACCATGTGTTAGGTACCGAAACAACATTTCCACCACTGAGAGAATCATTCCATTATCCAATGATCAATTCACCTTCAATATTCATTGCATAAAATATTGTCTTTATTATCGATGAATTTTCGTTGATCCAACTAGTCTGTTGCATTAACCGACAGCACACAGACCAGAATGCGGCCACATACTTTGCTGAAACCAGTGACAGCATTGAATTCTGTCAAGTTTGTCAGTCGGAATTCATCGTTCATAATTGATATTCTAACTTGTTTCATTCACTCTAAACATTCCGTTGTGAAACGTTAATGAAATTGAATGTATACTGAGTATTGCATTACGCACTGTGATAGCAACTCTCTAGTGAATGAAATAGTCACTTAACACTGAAATCACTATCATGTCATTTAGTTATAGTTCCATGTATTGTGATTCTCTTTAGTTCTGTTTACGTATTCGAATTATATAATCACCTTATTACATTTACAGCAATTTGTCCAATACACAATTCATTTGAAACATGTCGAAAAGCAACAACATCGAATGTAAAATGTATTTGGTGTGAGAAATGGAACACGTGCATCGACAGTCATCATCAGGATAATCATTTCTTTAAAGTGAATGATTGCCATTTTAAGGTATGTCGAATCGGTGTTAGATGTTCTGAATGATTGTACAAATGCACATTTTGTTACTGTTTGTTGAATTGTATTTTATTACCCTTATTGACAGTAAAGCGTAATGAATTAGTCTAAGGGTATTTCATGTTTTTTAATGAATGCTACTGTTTTGTTTATCCAAAAGAGCCCGGATGTTAACGATGTGAGTACATCGACACCCGTCAATCAAAACGGAACAACATTTGGGATCCCTGAAGTTCAGGTTGGAGGAAACGTCAAGGAAACTACCAATGGAAATGAACAATACTCGGTAAATATTTGATAGTTAATAATAAATGCTACTGTTTTGTTTATCCAAAAGAGCCCGGATGTTAACGATGTGAGTACATCGACACCCGTCAATCAAAACGGAACAACATTTGGGATCCCTGAAGTTCAGGTTGGAGGAAACGTCAAGGAAACTACCAATGGAAATGAACAATACTCGGTAAATATTTGATAGTTAATAATAAATGCTACTGTTTTGTTTATCCAAAAGAGCCCGGATGTTAACGATGTGAGTACATCGACACCCGTCAATCAAAACGGAACAACATTTGGGATCCCTGAAGTTCAGGTTGGAGGAAACGTCACGGAAACTACCAATGGAAATGAACAATACTCGGTAAATATTTGACAGTTAGTGATAAATGCTACTGTTTTATTTTTCTATAGAATGCGACCACTGAAATAACTCAAGAAAGTGAACAGAACAAATCACTTTGGTATCTGTATATTGTTATTCCTTCCGTCGTCTTCTTCTTTGCTGCATGCATCAGTTGTGTTATTTGTAGATGGTAGCATAAAGGAAGGAGAAATAGTGAATGACTCTCAACAAAGTCTCATAACTAGATTCGAATATTCGGACCAATTCCGCTTTTTTTTCGTTTTTCAATGAACTGTTTTGGATTTAGTCATTCATTTTAATGGTTTGAACTTTTCTTCACGGAACTATGTACATTTTGTGCTTGTTTATGTTATAGCCGATGTATTCTTGTTAATTAAATATCAAACATGATTTATAATATTTACGTCATTGTCTTTATTCATTAGAAGCTGACTTTTCTTACGAGAGTTTGACAACACTTTTTTCCGAATTAATAGTCATGTGTTTACGTGATTTTGTGTTAATTGCAATCAACAATGAGTTTGTTGTGAATGTCCATCGTTATCCTTCGTTACTTCATTATTCATTCTTATGTTAATGATGAGTGACAAACCAAAGTTAATTCGGTGTTATCTAGACGGATTGTGATTCTTTACAAATTTATATTGTTGACAGAAGCAATAAACGGCCATCAGTTTCACTCAAAGCTTATTCCTCCAAACGAGCTAAAACGGAGTTGTCTTTCTCAGATTCACAAAGGATACCGATACTGAGTTGATAGTTTGGTGTGCTAAGTGCTGTTGAAAAATAAGTATCCAGCGTTGCACAATGAATTGCAGTTTTCGGAGCACACATACTTCACGGTTGTCACTGAAGATGTTCAGTTTCATTGTTCTGAATTGTGCTGTGAGAAACTGAATGAACACACACGAACTTGTTGTTTTTGAAAACTCGAAATCATAGGCCATCAAGTACGAAGAAACCATTAATTCGTAAAATTATCAAAGCCATCACAGTTTAAATAGGAGTCCGAATTTCTCTAATGGACTGAACTTCTCCATAAGTTTATCGTTCATTTGTTCAGCTATGTTTTGCATGTAGACTCTGTGTGACACAGTCATCTGGTTTCTGGAAGCGTATCTGAATAATATGCCAATGTGTATAATTATATCATTGATGTCTGCAATTCGAAGCATAGCTCTTCAAACACTGTTTTCTCCATGAAATAATATTTTATATACAACATTTGATATTGAATCATCCGATCAAATTTTAGGTTGAAATTGATTTTGAACTTGTTTCAGGTTTCCCACATTAGGAGCCCCTAAGTGCCATGATACGGCCGAGAGTGAGGAGAGTCAGCTCACTCTCACTCTCACTACAAATGCTCTTACATGGCCACGTGCGCACATTTCCTGCCAAGGACGTCCTACTCCTTGATGTCTCGCGAGTAGGCGAGGACAAAGTGCGAGTGGCTGGCGAATAAAGCATGTTGTTGGATATGGAGTAGCCACATAAGCGAAATTGGAAAATCCTGAGTACTAATCAATGGTGCACATAGGCTCTGAGATTCGGAGTGAATAAATGACGTGTGAATCAATTATGAGTCAGCGACTACCATGAAACTGAATTTCTCACGTTGCTTCACCGCCTTGTGGATTGCACCTTTAGGTCGAACGCTCCACAGCAAACGGAATATAGCCTATCCCTCACACAGATCGAGTGATTTATGTGGCGCATATATACTCTGTGCCTTGTTGTATCAATGTTTATGTGTTGAGGAAAATAAATAAATAATTATTGAATTTCCCACCAAAAAACAAATATGATGAGCACAAGTAGCATTTAACATGACATCTTCAAGATTTGATTCTTCTGAAATGTTATTCCTCCAATTTAGTAAGAATGTCATTCAAGAATCAGCATCTAACAAAATCGCACCAGATTTCCGATAAGCATTCGATTCATATTCAGGATTTGATTCTTCTGAAATGTTTTTTCTCGTATTTATTTTGCTGCATTAATTTTTTTTAGGATGGGGATCGCTTCGGCTTCCTCAACAAATGTCACGTGGAACAAAATTTTGTTCCAGTTGACGTTTGCTTTCAGGTTTATATAAGGCAAACAAAGCGTCATTAAATTCTGGACTGAAGTATTACTATATACTGTCTATCTCAACATAACAGTCATGGAATTAATCAAGGGAGGTATATCGTCGCTACTGAGTATGAACATTATTTTCCGAAGTGTTGTAAAAGATAAGTTATCACTAGAATCTCACAATTTAATAAAATCCGAACTACAGTGTTTATCTTCATTAGTGTCAATACTAAATGTAGTTCTACAGACTGACCGAATGTAACCAATTGTACAACATTTTAGACATTCATCATTACGAAATACAAAGGAATTATGTGAGTGCAATTTAGCACTGGATAAACATGTACCAAACTTGTGGTCAACTCCGTGACTGGCTTTGCAATTACTCTAATATCTGTTATTCGCATCAGATCAGAATGACTATGTAACGTGGTGGAGTTATCGACGTTTTCATGAAATGTTTATCTTCCCAGCACTCGAAATTAGTACACAATACATGATTTAGTAGTACGTTTTTGAGGAAAGCGTAGCGGGCTCGTTTGTTAATGCCGAGGATTCTAGTTAGTTGTAAGGCACACTGTTTCCATTTATTCATCGAAAACTTCAGAATATGAATGTGTGAAAACCTGTATGCCACGTATATTTTGCTCGTTCTTGACTCTACTACACGTTTACTTTGTTCTCTGAGATGAACACATCTAGTGGGAAGCAAATGATAAATTATTTTGGGTCCAAAATCATTTCTTGTATTCTGTGCATCGAAATCAGGTCACATCTCCGTCTACGATAAGACACAGTAAAGAGGTCTTGTATTTCAATCCTCTTTTTGTTGTAAACATCGGAGTTCTGGAATCGCACGGGTAACTGCACTCAGCATTTTTTGCAGGTCAACTTTTAAATAAGAACCAACAGCGTCAATCCATTATTCAGGCTTATTTCTCACGAAGGTTGTGTATACTGTGGTGATCATGTTAGTATCTAACTTGGTGAATGTCCGTCTTAAAACCCACAGTGTTGTAAACGTCTTAGCTGCAACCGTACGGCGACGATCGGTGGTCTTAAGTTGAGGACATCGGTCACACCAAGATCCTTCTGGAACCGATCTACGGGTACAGGCACTTTCCTTATGCAGCAGCTATTCAACTTAACATCTCAAATCATTGAAGTGAACTTCATGTGAATGAAACGAGCATGCATCCTTCCAAACTAATGTTGAATGCCCAGTTTCTGAATCTGTATTACTATTTTATTACTACTGAATCGTTGAAGGTCTAATACTGCAAAGGTATTTTCACGTACGCAATAGTTTCTATAATCTTCCTTTTAACAATCGACTCCAAGTATGCATGACATAAGTTGTGGAGCGTTTATTCACAAATGCAACTAGAGAATCTTATTGATCACCTAACATATGGATATTTAACTCGATCAAGTAACTGTGACCACAGTGTTTGTTTGTTGTGGATGAGAGACGAATAGATTTGAATGTGTAATCTCAACGACTACTCAATATGAATGGGTCATATATACAGGAATGACTATGTGATGAATGGAAGTGTAGATGAATATGATGTGCATAGGAATGGCTTTGTGACAAACATATAATACGATTCGTTTTTTTTGAAGCAACGATTTTCCGCCAAGGTTTATCGTAGCTTTTAAACAAAAATGAATCTCGGCATTTGTTTCCCAACAGGCGAAATGAGATTTTGACCTGGTTTATCTATGGTGATCAATTTTTGACTTTTCAGATCTAATCATTACCAGTTCATGTCAACAGATCTTCAAGTCGAATTCAATGTATTCAAATGGTGAGTGGATTTCACATACATATCAATCATCGTTTTTCAAAAATGTAAGAACTTCCAACATTTTCAGTTTCTAAGGAGATTTGAATCTCACGAATATTGAGTGATTACAATCCGTGAAGGCGTAAGTGTGCAGGTCTTATATGTGTTGACTTACGTGTACCATTATCTTCTCCTTCATGAGATCATTTGACAGTGAATAATCCCTCTGAATTATTGAAAATACGAAAATAGATAATGAAATATCTGTGAAATGAAAATCCATCTCTTTTATTTAATGTACGTTGTAACCCGGAATACCTTTGCACACAAGTTATCAATTTCATTCCTACATCTACATGAAATGGAGATGTTTCAAGGAATAATGTCGCTTCAATGGTATAATGAACTTTTCAATCAACTGACTTCGGTAAAGTTACTTCACGTCCGCCCAAATTGTCCAATGATTTTTTGACTGAGTAAGAGTAATTTAATATCTATCTGACAATAGCCTAAAATAATCATTTTCTGAGATTCGGTTATTCATCGATTCGGAGAGCAGACCAAAACGACCATATGTAGACTTGATGTTCTAGGTATTTAAGTTCGAGTAAAACTTTGTGTACTTGCGGACTTTTCATGGTCGTTCAATATTCAGCTCCTTCAGAAAGTACCTAGATTCGGAGATCATAATCATACGAATATGATTACAGAGATACAGTTCAATGAAGTATGGATCAATTAAGTGCTAGTAGAGTATTTAAAGATAACAAATATGATATGATATTTTGTAGGCTTTACAAGTTCAAACTGACTTCACTAAGAACATGGCTCATTGCTACACATTTGTTCAGTTTGATTCACTCAGTTCAGAAAGAAGTGTCGGATCGATGAGATATCAATTTAAGCGAAATGAATGTGAGAAAAGGAAACAACACAATCTACAACTGAATAATATAAGAACCCACTTTCATTTAAAACATCAAACTCAAGCATTCAGATGTCTTTTTAATTCATTTGAGATTCGTCCGTAGTGCATTCTGTTTTCATACCTAAGTATCTGACCTTTAATTTTAATAAAGAAAGCATGCAAATTGATTGATGATTTCACATTGAATGGATTAAATGATT